GCTCTGTGTGTAAATAAAATGGCTCTGTCCATGTTAAATTATATTTTAAAAATTATAAAAACTAAACAGCCTACAGTATTTTAACAGTCTTTATTTTAAAGTTAAAACAAATGTTTATCAAATAAAATCTAATGTTACAATTAATCAGGGATCCCTTTAAAGATGTGTTTTATTTTTCAGGCACCGCCATTCGACACTGCAGTGATGAGAAGGGCTGGTTGTCACCTGAGCTCTTCAACTGCACCACYGCCACCTTCTCTCAGCTGAAAAAAATGGTGAACATGACACACAAAAAGCTCCTTTCCAGCTAAAACCTTTGTTCTGTAAAACCAAGATTTTTCAGGATTTTTTTTTTCCTGCTCCTTTTTCCAGAACGAGGACCTGCGTCGCAACAGTTCACAGATGAACAGCGATCACTCCAAAGCCATCGTGCGTTTGCTTCACGGCGCCACGGATAARAAGCCACATTTCTTTGGGAACGACGTGAAAACGGCGTCCCAGCTGCTGAATCACGTGCTGCGCTACGAGAGCCAGCAGTCCGGCTTCGACCTCAGCGCCATGAAGGACGCRGAGTTCAATGAGGTAAAAAAATTATTATTTTTCTTAAACTAATTCACCTGACAGAAAGCAGAAATCAATTTATTTGTTGTTGTTTTKTCAGAATTTAGTGCGAGCTGGCAGCGCCATATTAGATCCTGACACCAAGGAGTRCTGGGAGCAGATCCAGAGGACGGAGGGCGGCACCGCACACCTGCTCCGMGGCTTTGAGGACTACGCCAACATCYTGGCACAGAACGTCAGGAAGACCTACCTCAAACCCTTCACCATCGTCACCGACAACATGAGTGRGTCTTTGGAGCGGCGTTCAAACAAAGCACAGATATTTACACAAAATGTAATYCATCAATCTGTGTCACAGTTCTAACCGTGGACTACTTGGATGTGTCGGACCCCGAGAGAGCAACGTTGCCWCATTTCCAGGACATCCAAGAAACCTACCCCAAAGAGCTCAGGTCCTCTGTCCACTTTCCACACTTTAACCTACGTACTCACATCCAAAAAGGTAAAAATGCTCAAATAACTGAATTTTTTTTTTACTGTTTTTGTAATTTGACCTTGAGCTCCGTGTTATTTTGAACCTAGCAGAACCAACGCCTGGCCCTCTGACCCACACCGACCCCCCACAGGAGGAGGAGGAAGAGCACACRGTGTCTGATAGAAAACGGCGCTACCTAGAGCCGGCTGCCCCTCTGCCCGTCGCTGTGGTCATCGTGTACAAGTCTCTGGGTCAGCTCCTTCCAGAAAACTACGACCCCGACCGYAGGAGTCTGAGGTTGGCCCTCATGCCAGTTTGTTTGTTAAAAACTGAACAAAAGAAAGCTTTTCATTCACTCCAAAAAGACAACAAAGCATGAATGACTTTGCTGAAATTCAGCCGGAGAAGATGAAACTGAATTCTAAAGATAAAAGAAGCAAAACACTCGCACAAAAGCCAAAATTAGCAAAATGCTAACTGCAAGTTAAAAGAAAAGGAAATGCTAATAAAAGTTAAGTTTAAGTTTATTTATTTATTTGAAAAAACAACATAAATTCAACATACACCAAAAATACAAATCATAAATTAAATGAAAGGTAGCAGGAGAAGAAAAAATTAAGTTGTAAAACACTTGTTAAAAGCTAAAAGTAGCAAAACATTACCTGAATACTTAAAGTAGTGAAAAATGCTAGCTAAAATTAGCAAAAGGCTAGTTAAAAAAACTCTAAAGCCAGCTAAATGTAATAAAGGCTAACTAAAAGTAACAAAAGGTTAGCTAAAAGTAGCAATAGGTTAGTTAAAAGTAAYAAAATGCTASAGAAAAATATGGCCTAAAGTATCAAATAATTATTTAGAAGTTAAATGCAACAAAAACTTAGTTAAATGCTAAACTTAAGAAAAGCTTGGCTTACTAATAAAACATGGAAAACCTATCTGAAAGCCGCAAAAAATGGCTAGAAGCTAATGTAGAATGGTACCAAAACACATCAGCRAAAGGCTATCTAAAAAAAGCTAAAGGTATCAAAGGACTTTCCTAAAATGCTAGCATAAAGGCTAAAAAATAGCAGAAGGCTGGCTAAAGGTTAAAAATAGCAAAATGCTAGCTTAAAGTAGAAAAGACTTAATTAAAAGGTGCAAAAGGCTAACTTAAAATAGCTTATATTTACTAAGAGTTAATGTAGCAAAAGGCTAATATTAGCAGAATGGCAACAAAAAGTAGTAAAGAGACAAAAATAGAGCAAGTTTGCTGAGGCAGAATGTTGAAAGAACTGAAAAGTCTTAAGTGGAGAAAATATCTGGTTACGGTTACTATTTTTAAAAGATTAAAGTTAAATAGAGTCACTGCAGTGGTCCTCTTAATGAGCTTTTCACACATACAGTAGGCTAAAAATGTAGAGAAATTAACAGGAAACCRCTCGTCTTCACTAAATAACTGAAAGCCTTAAATACATTTTGTTTTGTGTGTCTGTAGGCTCCCCAACCRTCCTGTGATCAACACAGCCATCGTCAGCGCCACAGTTCACAGCGAGGGCCCACCCCTTCCTCCCGTCCTGGACCCCCCCATCACCTTGGAGTACACCCTGCTGGAGACAGAGGAGCGAACCAAACCTGTCTGTGTTTACTGGGACCACTCCATTGGGTGAGTTATTGAAGAGCTACGGTCATAGAAACACTTTTATATATTTACTGATGTTTGGTTTTTAGGAGCAAGGGTACCGGCGGCTGGTCCTCTAAAGGCTGCGAGGTGCTCAACAGGAACAAAAGTCACATTAGCTGCCAGTGTGATCACATGACCAGCTTTGCAGTTCTGATGGACATTTCCAAAAGAGAGGTTCTGTCCAATRAATAAATAAATAAATCATCACTTTATTAAAGTAGCTGAACCCTCCTGACCCTGATATCTTCTTTACAGCATAAAGATGTCCTCCCGCTGAAGATCGTCACCTACGCCACKGTGTCGGTCTCACTGTTCCTCCTCCTCCTCACCTTCATCCTGCTGTGCGTCCTCTACCGGCTCCGCTCCAACCTGCTCGCCATCCACAGGAACCTGGTGGCGACGCTCTTCTTCTCTGAGCTCGTCTTCCTGCTCGGCATCAATCAGACCGAAAACATGGTTTGTATTTTATTAGTTCACTTACACAGATGCATGTGTGACCTGGTGATGCTGTATTCTGATATCCAACAGAACTGATTATTCTAAACTGTAGAGTTTGGAWCTTTTTGATGTAGGGTTCTATGATAAAGTTATGAACAAATAACATCTTACCTGCTGTAAATAGCTCTTTCAGCCTCCTGCTCTCCTTGGGTCAAGGAGAGCTAAGACTTGAGGGGTCAGTTTGACYCACTCTGACCTGACAGGTTCAAAGGCCTCCAATAGTATTTAATTTGTGGATTAGATTTATGATTTATTGTTTGAATGTGAAACATTTTATTTTCATACTTTTKTGCAATATAATTACTTATAAACTCTTCTGCACTATTTTATTTATCTATTTATTTTAGATATTCATATATCTAAACATTATCTACTTTAAGATTTTAGTCCTTTGCTACTTTTAGCTGGCCTTTTGTTGCTTTTAGTTTACAGCTACCGTTTTGCTAATTTTTTGCTACTTTTGCTTTTAACTAGCTTTTGCTTCTAGATTTTAGCTTGCTTTATGCTACGTTTAGATAGCCTTTCACTATATTCACTTTTAGCCTGCATTTTGCTACTTTTATATAGTTTCAACTAATCATTTTGCTACTTTAACTTCTGTTTTGCTTTTAATAGTTTCTAGCAACAAGTTGGCTACTTTTAGCTTTTGGTTAGCCTTCTGTTAATTTTAGTTGTCAGCTAATGTTCTGCTTGTTTTGCTTTTAGCTAGCCTTTATGCTACTTTTAAAGTCTTTTGTTACATTTAGCTTTTAGCCAGTATTTAGCATTTTTCAGCTTTTGCTTTGTGTTTAAATAGTTTTAGCTAACCCTAAGCTACATTTAGCTTCTGCTTTTCTTCTAGAAATGTGTAGCTACAGGTTTGCTACATTTAGTTTTTAGCTGCCGTTTTGCTTTATTTTAACTTTTAGTTGACCTTATGTTACTTTTAATGTACTTTTGCTATATTTAGCTTTTAGCCAGCATTTTTAGATTTTACCTGCTCTTTTGATAGTTTTAGCAAATTTTTGCTACTTTTAGATTCTGTCTTCTTATAGTTTCTAGCAACATGTATGATCTTAGCTTTCAGCTAACTCTTTTGTTACTTTTAGTTTTAAATACTGTTCTGCTTCTTTACTTTTAGCTAGCCTTATGCTACTTTTAGAGAGCTATGACAGCATTTTGCCTTTATAAGCGTTTGTTCTGTTTTTTGATGGTTTTTGCTAACCTTTAACTGCTTTTAGCTTCTGCTTTGCTTCCAATAGTTTGTAACTACAAGTTTGCTACTAACTAAATAACATTCTCTTATTTTTTATTCCTAACTAGCCCTTTGATAGTTTTAGCTCTCTGTTAGCATTTTGCTTTTATACTTAGTCTTTTGCTACTTTTATCTTCTAGCAACCATTTTGCAGTATTTGACCTTTAGCTTGCATTTCATTTCATTAACTTTAACAACTTAGTTTTAGCTACTTCTGTAAGTTTCAGGAGTCAGTGTTCTTGTTTTTTCACAGAAAATATAATTGTTTTAGGAAAAAAAATTGCTTCCTGATTATCTCTTACAAAATAATTTCACTGCTTTAATTAAAAAAAAACTGTTTCAGGTGAAGTTTGATTCTTAATTCTTTAAAGCTCAGGATATAATCTGGCGTTAGGTCAGTCACAGACACGGCCAGAACCGTGGAGGATCAGAAGGATTGTTTGAAGTCTGCAGACGCACGCACGCACACACACACACACACACACACACCTTTGTGGCCCAGTAGTGGAGACGTGCTCTGACTGGTACCTGTCTGCAGAGGCGGCCCTCAGGATGGTAAGCCCTGGCAAAGACTTCCCAAAACAACTTTAAGTTTTAACTCATTAAAGATCTTGCATATTCACACCACAAACCTAATCATTTATTTAACTGATGAGCGACACTGCAGCTCTCTGCACCAAGATTTAACCTAAAATCAGACGTCCAGGTCAGGATTTTYCCTTTCTTTTATCTCATGTATTTGTTAGCGGTTTATGCTAAGTTAGCATCTCATTGGCAGGGTTTTTTGTCAAACATCAAGTGTTGGTTTTGTTCATTTGTCTTTCTGAAATGGGAGCATTCTTTGACTGGCAGAACTGGCTTTCTTTAGCTTCTTTTTATTTTATTTTTTTTGCATCTCTTTGAATAAAGACAAACTCGTTTGCGTGAGCTCATAATTCCTGCGTCCAGATTAGCCTGCGTGCGTGTCAGACCTGTGGAATTCTGTCAGCGTGAGCCCAAGGCCAACTTGCGAGGATGATTTACAGTCCTGTCAAAGTGGTCTTCCTCTTTCTCCTCCTCTGATCTCTGCAGCCATACACAGAAATACTCACACACACACACACATACCATAACTCATGTCCCGACACAGCGTTCCTCTAATGGAGCAACAGATTTATAAAGAAACACAGAAGAGGTGATAAAGAAATGTGCGGCTGCTTTAATATTACATAATGGGTAATGGAGTAGCAGAACTGATTCGTCAATGAAACACTGGAGATGATTAGCATTTTAGCATTAGCATATAGCTTTTTTGATCAATGCATGAAAATAATACACACAAGTTTGTGCAAAATWATATTGGTGATGACTCATCTGGTAGCACATTTAGTTTTTATTCAAAAAGTTTAAATTACCATGAAATAAAAGTTTAATTTGGGCTCAAATGAAAATCGTCAGGTCAGAGCTTCACAAAAATTAGTAATTGGCCTGAAAAAGTTGTTAATTCTTGTGACGTTTTCTTATTTTTTCCAGTTCGTGTGCACGGTGATCGCCATCCTCCTCCAYTACTTCTACATGTGCACGTTCGCCTGGATGTTCGTGGAGGGGCTGCACATCTACCGCATGCTAACGGAGGCGCGCAACATCAACCACGGCCACATGAGGTTCTACTACGCCATCGGCTGGGGCATACCCGCCGTCATCACCGGTGAGAACCGCACGCCGACCGACACCAACCTGCAGGGAGACGGGGAGGGAGGTTCAAGCCGCGACTCGTCCGCTCTGCTGGAAATCCTCGTGGGAAAACAATCGAACGAGACAAACGGCAGCAGCCGTCATGTAGAAGAAGAATGAAGTCGGGTGTTTTATTACACCRTCATGAATATTTTGTTTCATTTGGTGTCTTTTCAGCTTTGGCAACTTTGGGCCTGTCAGTTCTGGAACAAAATTGTAAAAAATGGTGACGTGCTGTAGGCTGTGTGATGTTCTGGCAAAGCTGCATGAGTTTGGGTTTGGTTCAGATTGTAGTTGTGAGTCAGGAGTTCAGAGGTAGCAACATGTTACACAACAYTAGTTTACAGAAAGACGGTGACTAAGCTGAACAGAGAGAAAACACAGCCTAGAAAAGGAAATGATGATAAATAACTATTTTTTATCTTTTAAAAACCTGAACTATTTATTTTATTTTTGTTTCTGTAGGGTTGGCGGTCGGCCTCGATCCTCAGGGTTATGGAAACCCAGATTTCTGCTGGCTTTCTGTCCACGACACCCTGATCTGGAGCTTCGCAGGGCCCATCTTTGTTGTCGTCCTGGTATGTGCCTGAATCAGTCTGGCTCCTCTTGTTCCACAATGCTGAAGAAGCTGAAACTGAGTTGTTGAAAATAAAACAAGCAGGACAGTAGCTAAAGTAGCAATAGCTAGCTGAGAGTAAAAGTAGCAAAAACGCTAACTAAAAGTAGCAAAAGGCTAAGTAAAAGCAGCAGAAGGCTAACTAAAGTTAACTAGCTAAAGCTAAATGTATTGATGGCTAGCTTAAAGTTGCTAAAGGCTAGCAAAAAACTAACAGTAGCAGAGCAAGTGCTAAAAGTTAAGACTATAAWAAAAGCTAGCTAAAAGTATTAAAGGACTAGCTGACAGCTAAAGATAGCAAAATGCTTGGTAAGGGTAAAAGTAGCAAAAAGGCTAGCTAAAAGTAGCTAAAGTTTAACTAACTAAAGCTAAATGTATTCATGGCTAGCTTAAAGTTGCTAAAAGCTAGCCAAAAATGTAAAGTAGCAGAGCAGTTACTAAAAGTTAAGACTATTAAAAGCTAGCTGAAAGTACAAAAAGACTAGCTAAAAGCTCAAAGTAGCAAAACGCTTGCTAAAGCTAAAGATAGCTGAATGCTAACCGATAGCTTAAAGTAACAAAAGGCTAGCTGATGGTAAAAATTGCAAAAAAGAAGCTAAAAGTAGCAAAAGTCTAAGTAAAAACAGCAGAAGCCTAACTAAGGTTAACTAAATAAAGCTAAGTGTATTGATGGCTAGCTTAAAGTTGCTAACAGCTAGCCAAAAACTAAAAGTTTCTGAAACTTTCCTAAAAGTTAGGAATATCAAAATGCTAGCTGAAAGTCATAAAATACTAGCTGACAGCTCAAAATAACAAGAGACTTGGTATGGGTAAAAGTAGCAAAAAGGCTAGCCAAAAGTAGCAAAATGCTAACTAACTTGAACTAAACATATTGATGGCTAGCTTAAAGTTGCTATAGCATAGCCAAAAACTAAAAATATCAGCGCAAGTGCTAAAAATTAAAACTATTAAAAACCTAGCTAAAAGTACAAAAAGACTAGCTAAAAGCTGAAAGTAGCAAAAATCTTGCTAAAGCTAAAAATAGCTGAATGGTAACTGAATGCTTAAAGTAGCAAAACTGTACCAAAAACTACAAATATCAAAATAAATATTTTAAATTGGTATGAAAGTTATAAAAACCAGATGTGATCTTTTGAAAGAGCTGAATGTTTTATTTATTAATAGCTAAAATGTGGAGAAATTAAAAAACAGGACCACAAAAGTCTGAAAGCTGAATCAGCATTCATACAATACATGAATGAAAGAATGAAACAAACAATAACTGACCTTCCTCTTTGTTCAAGGTGAACATAGTCATCTTCATTTTAGCTGCGAAGGCCTCCTGTGGTCGCCGGCAGAAAGCTGTGGAGAAGTCAGGAGCTGTGTGAGTTTCTCAGCCAAGAATCAAATTAAAACTTAAAGCTGAATGCATCATTTAACTTTTAACCCTTATTTCAGTCCGGCGCTGCGCATGGCCTTCTTCCTCCTGCTCCTCATCGGCGCCACCTGGATGCTCGGTTTACTGGCGGTCAACAGCGATGTCATCCTTTACCACTACCTGTTTGCCGTCTTCAGCTGCTTGCAGGTAACATTGTGACTTCCTAACCCAAACTGAGCAGTTAAACACACGTTTTCAGGCTTTAACTATTTTTTTTTTTCAACAGGGGGTCTTCATCTTCTTCTTCCATGTGATCCTCAACAAAGAAGTGAGGAAGAACCTCAAGAACGTCCTCACCGGAAAGACGACTGTACAGGACAACTCCAGCACCACGAGGGCCTCCTTACTCACCGTGTGTGGACAGACCTGTTCGCTTAAAAAAACAAACAAAAACATTCCTGCCTCCTTATTATTATTTTTGTTTTCCTCTTTCTACCTTCAGCGCTCCCTCAACTGCAACTCATTCCCTGAAGACGGCCCGCTGTTTCGCACCACCATCGGCGAGTCCAACATCTCCCTGGACAGCACGCTCAGGTCAGCCAAGAGCCGCAGCAGCTACCTGGCTTACACATTCAGGTACAGCATGCCCACTGACCGCATGGCCGCTTCTACTACACCCATGCTGCCTGCGTCTCTTTTTWAWTTTTTTGCACATTCCTGTCAAATTTCTTTGTTTCTGTTTTGCGTTAAATGTCTAACAGTTACTAACACATTATGCACACACACCTTACCCTGCTATCTGTAAACATCTGCCTCACCTGAAGAGTCCTGCTCGCATGCTGCTAAATAAATGCACCGGGGTTATATTGCTTACATTCAGCAGTGCATGGCTCGTGGCCTTGTTGCAAAATTTTATACAAAACAGAATAAATGAAGTCATTAAAGAAGAAAACACATTCTCAGTTTGTGTTGCCCTAATTTCAGTCTGTGATTCACAACCAAATAACTGCACTTGTAAAATACAGCTAATTCAACCAGAGAGATGAATATCTTTATATTCAMTGCTTTTTATTGAGTGACACACATGTGCTTGGTTGTAATACAGCAGAATCACCGAATCATCATTTATATTTTCGGTCTTAAATTTCATTCAAGGTGGTATTAAAAAAGGTCTTAAAAAGTCTTAAATTTGACTTGCTAAAACCTGCAGAGACCCTGTTTATGTATTAATAATAAAAAACCTGAATGTTCAGTGAGTTGTGAGAATGTCATTGGTCAGAACTGCAGCAAACTGATGAGAAATCCTACAGGAGGAATAAACAGAGGAACAAGTATAGGATAAATATTTAAAATGTATATGGCCGCATCAGAGGAGTCTGAATTTGGACCGCCTCCGGTTCAGCGCTGTGACGTAAGAGGCCGACAAATTCAGCCTTTGAAGGACGCAGCCCCTAAATTTAAACACAACAAATACTAGTAGGGTACCCCAACCTTTTCATCAGGGCAAAAAAAATCGCTTTTAGTCTGACCCCTTATCTGAGG